TGGATGGCGGGGGCCCGGTGGGGGACGGGCTGGTCCCTCGGGGCGTCCGAGGCGGGCCGGAAAAGCCGTGGAGGGAGACAGGGCCGTTATCCGTGCCGAGGAGCTGGGGGTCCGGAGGCTTTCCTGCGCGGTGCCCTCGAGTTTGTTCGAGGGGGCCGTGGTCATTGGAGAGGGTTTCGGGGTGGGCTGCGGTCTCCAGGGTTAGGAGGTGCTGGGTAGTCAGGGACATCTGAATCCTCTTTTGGGGCTACCAGAGGGGAGTCAGGAGGTGGTAGCCGTGGGGAAGCCATCGAGCAGTTCCTTTAAGTTCCGTGAGAGTGACAGGTACCCTTGACAGGGTCTCCCCACCCTCAGCCCCACTCCCCCTGCCCCAGACTTCAGCCAGCCAGCATGGTGGGCGCACCCTGTGCATCCAGGTGGACCTGGGGTCCAAACCCGCCTCCCAGCTGGTCTCCCTGAGAAGTGGCCACGGCAGTTTCGGTCACCTCCGTACCTCCAGCTTCTGAACAGGGTCTCTCAGAAGCTGAGTCTCCACCAGGATTTGGATCAGGGCAGACCTAGTCATTCCAATTGCTTCCATTTTTGTGTATGTATTTTTTTCATTTTTTCCTTTATTCACAATAGAGTGCGTGCACAAGAGAAAGAGAACGCACCCCTGGGGCCAGCAGATGGCATGGTGGTTAAGGCGTTGGACTCCCATATGGCTGACTGCAGTTGGGGTCCCAGACCCAGTGGTTTGAAAATCACACTGGGCGTGTTTGCGTGAGTGCCCACTCAAGATCCTGGGAGAAGAATGGAGGAGATGGGATTGCAGAGTGACCATCCCCCCTGGGGGTGGTTTCTCACATTCCCTCTGACTGTTTCTGTGTCTCTCTCCCTGGGAAGCACACCTGCCCTAAGGCAAAACCTCTTAAAAAAAAGAGAGAAAGCAAGGAAGGCAGGCAGGCAAGCAAGCAAGCATCCCTGGTCACACCGCAATTTTTTTCTTTCTTTTTTCTTAAAGTATTACATTTACTTTATCTGACTTTAGTTAATTAATAATAATTATTATTATTATTATTATTTGCTATAGGGCACATGTGCTTGCCCGAGCGAGATGGGGAAGCAATAAGAGAGCACCTCCCCCAAGAGGTCGGTCAGGCCCCATCCCTTCTCTGTCACCCCCTCTGGATTGGGGACACAGGCCCACATGCGCCTGATGTGTTTTGTAAGCCGTCGGGTCTGGCACCTGAACTGCTTCGTCAGTCATGTGGGATCTAGCTGCCATAACTACCACGCCACAGTCCCTCCTGCAGTTCTCCATCCCATCGTGATCCGGGGCACGAGCACCTCCTCTCAACATGCCGAGGGCTGGAACTAGGGTCCCGGTGGGCTGCGTGGGCTCTGGCCGCTCTGCACCGCTCTGACCTGCTGCCTTACAGGGACCAGCCTTCGGGGAGATCGTGAGAGGCAGAGGGCTTGCGGGATTTCAGCACTGCGGAGGACGAGGATGATGCTGTGCACGCGAGCACGTGTGCTCACCTCTGCACGCAGTCGGAGTGGGACGAGGTCGCAGGAGGCCGTTGGGAGAGGCTGCTGAGGGGCCTTCAGGGGACCCTTGATGGGTGCCACACTGGGGAGTCACTGTAGCACCAACTTGGGAGGTGGCCCTGGCTTCATGAGCCCCCCGGGGCCCAGGGTCTCTCCCTGAGCTCACTGGCCTGCTCTGCTCAGCCCACCGGCCGTGGCTGGTTCGGTCCTACTGCCCACAGCGTATCCCCGCTTCCCCTGACTCCCACCTTGTTTCTTGTCTGGCTTCCCTGGGATGGGGACTCCCGGCCGGCAGGCGGCTTGGGCTCCCAGCAGAGTCGGGCACCTCGTGGGCATAAGTGAACGAGGGAGTACCGCACCTGTGGTCGCAGTCACGGGAGGGCCGGACGAGTGGGCGGCTGTGAGTGAGCGGTGCACGTGTAGTGAGCCAGAGGGAGGAGAAAAGGCCCCGTGTGTACTCAGCCGAATGAGCAGGAGGCAGTGAAGGAGCCTTCTGATCCAGCCAATGAACGGACAGGGGGAAAGAACGAGGCACCTCTGGGTCCGGAGCTGAGTGAGCACGAATGGATGACAGGGAGGGAGGGAGGGAGGCACAGTCACGGTATGCAAAATGCATGAATGGCCATGAGTGAACGGATGTGGGTGAGAGTGAGGCCCCGGTGGGCGCGCAGTGAGGGCGGGAGCAGATCAGTGAGTGACAGTGAGTGACAGTGAGTGAATG